AAAAATGTCAAAAAACAATATTTATTTTTAGAAGACAGCTGGTGTGTTTCAGATCCAACCATTTCTTTGCAGACTTCTGCAGTACAGTACTGAGTGTCTTTGTACAGTACTGAGTTCATGATCCCATCAATACGCATGAGCTGAAGTATGCTAATGGTGTTTTTTTGTTTTTTTGTTTTTTTGTTAAACATTTTATTAAGTAACCTATAGGACTTTATTAAAGTTTACCAGTGGCTAAATGGAAAAGTGTCTAAATACTTTCTTGGGATCACTGTATGTAGGCCCAGATTTCATTCTTCACTCTCACAGCCGCATAACGTGCATATCAGCTTTATGGTAGTTGCTAAATAATAAGTCTTAAGATTAAGAACTGAATAACCTGCACTTTAACCCTTTCAGAAGTTCTGATCTCCAACATTCCCCCCAGAGCAAGATCTTTCAGCATGCATTAGCTGCGGTCCTAAAATGTGATTCTTAAGTAGCATCTGCTCCATGTAATCTACAGAACAGTATGTACACATGAGGCTACACATGAACAATATCAGATCACGGATCCTGTGGTAATATTTTTGGTAGTGTTTTTTTGGTATTTGGTATTTTTATTAAATGTTTTTTGCACATCATGACTACTGATACTTTTATTAAATGGAATTCACCAATATACATCGTTCTGTAATGAAATTTAGAATAAGAAGCCAACATCCGCCTCATTACATATATGCACAGCTGAGAGATATTGCAAATGTCTTAGAAAAAACTATGAAGACATCCAGTGTCCCAAATCACACACTTCTACACTTCACCTTCTACTCTAATGAGTGCACTTCTAATGGTACTGCAATATTTCTAACATACTATTTATTGTGCTAGTATATGTTTTGGGATGCAGCATAAGTAACACAGCAGGAAATCTCAGCCATTTAGATTTCAGCTTTCAATTGTTATCACTACAGCAACAACTGAAACAAATTCAGGGTAGTGCACTCAAATATAATGCACTTTAAAAATGAGTTTTAAACTGAGTATTTAAAAAATGTTTTACTGCCTTTGCAAAAGTTGGTTATGGCTTTGTTATCTCATTACTGGAATACTATGAATAGTCACAGAAATTGTGCATGCAGTGACATAGTAAAGTTATCCTATGTTAATTATATCTACTATGGCAGCATCAACATACTCACTGCCAGACTAAGTTTGAGTTGGTGGCTCTTGGGGCCATTTGTATTAGGTTAAGTTAGTTAAACTTTGGCTAGCCTGCTGCACAATATGTATCTAACACTGCATTTACACTGCCAAAACTGGTGCAATATAAAGGGGAATTCCAGCACATTTTCCAAATTTCAGCATAATTATAGGGTTAAGATCAAAGTCATTCAGGGGGGTTTGAGGTAAAATGTTCCATTCTAGAGAAACTTAATAAGTCAGAGTTGTTCACAGTAGTGGTGATAGGAACCAGACGTCTAAAGCATTTAACGCCTCTAAAAGCTCCATCACAGAAAGTTACTACATGATATGGTTATGAATACACTGCCTGATGTCTAAGACATCTATTCTTGGTGGAGAAGTACATGCAGGGCACTGTAAGGCAAAACAGTCTCCAAAGAAAATATATTTGTTTCAGATTTACCACTATTTTATCAACATCAACATTACACATTAAAGCTCAGAAGACATAAGTAGTTTCACTGGCTGCTTTGGATAGCAAATAAAATGGCTTTATTTGAGTTGTAGACATTGCGGCCCCTGGTTACTGTCACCACCAACGTAAACAAAAATCTAACTCGGTGAGTTTCTCTAGAATGGAGAATTTCACATCAAACCACTTTAAATTACTTTGTTTGCATCTCTATGGTAGAATTTGAAGAATCGGTGAAATTCCCCTTTAGCGGCAACTGATTAAGTCATGCCGCACGCTTGGTACTATCTAGGGACCAGCCACTGCAAATCCCTCCAGTGGGACAGTACTTGTGGAGGGGTTAAAGGGTTAATCAACAAATTCAGGCATCATTTTCTAAGGCCTAAAAATGCAGGCAATGCACTGACTAATACACTGTAAGCAAGCATAGTTTAGCAGATTTCATTTAGTTAAGTAACACCAAAAAAGGAGTTGAGACTTGTGCAAAGTCTTTGCTTTCTGGCGCATGTGTATGTGTGTGTGTGTGTTTATGTGTGTTTGGCCATTTTAAGTCTCCTGTGTGAGCGCCACAGGCAGGAAGCAGGGGGACAGACATCTAGCACACAGGAGGGAGGGAACACTCTGTACTATCACTTACTGCCACACACACACGTGGCCAGCCATGCAATCTCCTGCAGTGTGTGTGTGTCTGTGGTTTGTGTTTGTTGAGGAGGGTGGGCTAGATATAGAAAGGTAGAGGTATGAGTGTGTGTGTGTGTGTGTGTGTGTGTGTATGGAGGTGTATGCTGGGGTGTTTGTGATTGTGCTGCAAATCAAACTCAAAGCAAAGCACAAATCAGGCACCTCTACTGCCCACCATGCTTGGAAGACTGCAATGAATGTATTTTGCTGCTCAAGTCTGTCACAGAGGTTAAAAGATGGGATTCTCCAATAAAAGGCTTTTATAGCCTCTCTGAATAGCCCCCTTGATGTTTTTCACGTGATTCAGACTTTTGAGCCCTGTCATCGATGGTGAGGACACTTGGATGAATATATAGATTTCAGTGCTTAACTAGCTTTACTGAAGCAAGGCACTCAACATCGAGAGCAGGGTCAACATCTAGTGTTGTTTACCATTGCGGAACAGCAAACAAGGATCATCCACAGCTACACTCTTATAAATAAAGGTTCTTGGAAGAACGGTTCTAGGAAAAACTTTTAACTGGTATAGAGTCTTTATATTAAGTGGAGCTTTTTTAACTTGAAAACTGTTTTTTCCGCTTGCACATCTCATATACAACTATGACTGAAAGGTACTTTTTGGAACCAAAACTGGTTCTTCTATGGCAATTTTTATGGCACCTTTATCACTTTTTCTATGTTAAGGAATATATATATATATATATATATATATACACACATGACAGTATACTAGAGCCTCTCCTTGATGTCCAACAGAATGGATACAACTGAGGGACTGGGTCAGTCACTCTGTGGGGAACACTGTGCATGTCCTCTCACTGACCACCGTCCAAGGACTCTGGAAACAATGGTCCACTTTTTGAAACAGGGGGCAGGGTCAGATCCTGTATTAGCAGGCATACAGCACAAATGAGTGGCTCTGCATTCCAAGATAGCTGATAAATGAAAATGGCTTATTTTAACACCTGCATGGAGGGCCCTTAGAGGAGTCCCTTAACGGCCGTTGATTAAGTCAAGCAGCGAGCTCTCACCAGGAAATTTATGGTGTGGGTGTGTGCACATATCATACAAAACGGCACTGCCTCAGCAGGTCTGTGGAAGTCCGAGCTAATGCCATAATGGCAGCTAGCAGTATAGCTATAGCATTTGAGAGTGCAGGACCAGCACTGACACAGGGGGGATTACTGGTGGCAAAGGAAGGGGGATGATGCTCCCTCAGTTGGAATGCTCTGTCCCCTTACATTTTGTTCTGCACAGTAGCCTACTAGTTAAACTGTATTTGTGGGTTTTGCTATGTGCTATCATTTTCAGTTTGGTTCATTTTCTGTTGATGTATTGAACGCTTGTCGTAAGTTTTGAGCTCATGTTACTGTTTGGTTAAATGTTTTAATTATAGCCTTGTTGTCACTTTTTACAGTTTATATCTTATAACTATACAATAATCAACAAGCCACTAATGTCACCCCGAGTGTGTCTCTTATGGGTGTGTTTTAGCCCTCTCTTGTTGTCTCTTGCACAATGCACAACTACTGTTTATTTGCTGTACTTAAAATGTATGATAGAAATACATCCCCAATCTCCAAAATAGTAACTTTACAAGAGAAGGCAAAAACAATTACCTTTTAATGTAAGTCGATGTAAAGAGATTTTATTCCAAGTGCTTTTAGAGCATTTCTATTAATCCATTCATCATGAAATTGTTACACAACATAAAGGACAGCTGGTGTGTTAAAATGATGTAGAAAAATAAAAATTGACAAAAATGGAGATAAATGGTTTTCTTTGGACAGCTGGCGATATGTATACACACACTTTCTAAGCCGCTTGTCCTTCCTGGTCCCTAAACTTAGCAGAAAATGCCATATATAAGTTTGTTTACTGAAGAGGATTTAAATTTGTTTTCACTTAGGAAATCAACCAAATGTAATTTGACCTGGGGAGCCCAAACTTTTGCATCTCTTTAACATGCTGGTGTATGAGTGAAGTGTATGAAGTGCATTTGGTAAAGCTGTCATCAAATGATCGACTATAAAAAAATCTATATCTCCATTTGCCTATTGGGCGAAGGGGTAGTTGTGTTCCTTCATCAGTTTCTTGTGCCCCTTTGCCTAATTAATCATGCCACTGGGACTGAGCACAAGCGAAGTGTAGTGAGTGAGTGAGCAAGTGAGTGAATATGTGTGTAGGACTGAGTGAGTATGTAGGCAAGTGTGTTGATAAGAGAGTTCTTCCAGCAGGCTTTCTTTACATTACTCTACTGCATGTCTCTCACAGCTCTGACATGTGCAATGAAAGTTAATAACATATGATTCAGAGCCCCATCTCATTTCTGGATGCGTGCCAGATATCTGACCAGGGTTCTCTTCCTCCACCCTCCCTTCACAGTCCAGCTTCTGTCCAAAACGTCCATCCTTTCTACCCCACAGCTTTCACTCCCACTCCACCGACAAAAAAGCAGCCATAATGTGCCATTTCTTCAATCTGCACAGTTCACCTGCGCTGCACACGTCTACACATGGGTCATCGTGAACAGTGACAGACCCAATCATTTCTGCTGCACATGCTAAATTGAACCAGTAACAGTGAAATGCGGCTCCCGCTGGAATGACCTGCTGTGCGAGTGAGTGAGTGAGTGGGCATGTGGGTGTATGTGACTGGGCTGAAAGCACAGTGCTCCACTTACCAGAGAGACGTGGTGGAGATGTAATGTACCATCTGAATGAAGGGGAGAGGGTCCGACGTAGCTCCACAACTGTTACACACACACTGCAGGACAGCAGAGAAATGAACAATCACATACAAACTTAAGGGCACATCTTCAATATGTTTATACAGGGAACATAATTATACCACATTCCATTGAAGTTTATTTTTTTAAGCTGTATTGATTCCATGCAGCCTGTGTTGACTTTCGCCTTTTTCTATTTAAAATGTTAGGCTTATAAAAAGGCACTAATATGTCCCTTTACTCTGGGAAAGTGAATACAGTGTACCTTTAAACCTCAATTAAGGTGCACAATTGGACCTTAAGACCACTGCTGTACCTTTGAGGGTACAGCAACATGTTTGTACCTTGGAGAACAAAACTTTGTGGACAAAACGGTCTTGAATATTCATTTGAATTTTGAAGATGACACAGATGTACAGTTGCATGCAAAAGTTTTAACACTGTCAGTCAAATTACATGTTTTGTTGAATTTCTAAGTGAGTCTACAGAGAACATACTTAATAATCACATTTTTCAGCAAATTAGAATTATTTGTAAATTTTATTTACAGACATACTGAAAAATAAAAAAAATGTTTGTTCTCTGTAGAGGACGTGTACTTTTTTTTACTAATTTTGCATATGATTGTGTATGGTCACTGTCATGTCAAATCCAGTAATATTTTTCTATTCTTTAAGCATTTAAAAAAGGAAAATTCCCTTTACATTGTAACCAATAGAATTTTTCCGAAATTACTTCCAAAAAAGTTTCTTCACATTAATTTACATAACGTTTCTTCTCTTGTAAAGCTAAAATTTTGAAGATGTTTTGTTACATCAGTGATAATATACAGTCACATGTAGTATAAGTATAAGAGTAAGTTTGGAATTAAATCTTGAACTCCAGACTGCTTTCTTCTCCATACACAGTCTGCTAGAACATTTAATTTCCACAATAAACTTGCGATATTTAACTACAGCTTTTCACCAGTCAATCAGACTTGTTGCAGACACAAGACAGCATGTGTTGTCATGTGTCTTGTTTGATTCTTAGGGGAACTGTTTTTAGAGGTTCTCCTCTGCGATTTTATTTCTGTGCAGATAGGTTTTTTTCCTCTTCTCCTTTGAAGAAATTACAGGTTGAAGTATATACTATTTGGAAAAATTCTGTGCAGATTTTAAACTTTAAACAATACTTGTTTGTAAGTAGGAAGAGGTGCTTTCAAGAACAGGTATTTTATTATGATTTAAATTTCCAGGCTTATTTCATACTAAGGCTTAATATTCAGTAACTACGGGAACTTCAATGCAAACTGGTTAAGCTATTCTTACGTGATAGACGTGTGTTGGGCCCGGCGGCAAGCCCTGACCATTTAAGGGCGTAAATTTTGGCAGTTTTTGCCATTTCAGAATTTGGAAGTGCAGTCTCTATCCTGTCTACACAGTATGTAATGTTATTCTTAAATTAATTCTTTACATAACTGTATTGGTAATGTAATTATTAGGTAATTAGATTTCCAGTTATCAGGTTAACTCTTAGAGGTCTAAAGACATTATTGTCACTTTGCTATAAATACAGCCATACATCTTTATATTGGGTCGTTACTATGTACAAGATGTACAAACACACAGGAAAACAATAATAACTACATACTTGTAAAAGTTAAACTGATGACTGGATTTCTAAACCCATCTTCACAAGCATATGATTCCAAAGAGATGTGTTTCACCACTTCCTATCACAGAGAGCTCATCTGTCGTTAGGAGTCTGCTAAGAAGAGGGAGGAAGAGTAATGAAAGAAGAAACACAGAGCCATTACTGACCTGTTCAAACAGAGTCATGGCGAACTTCTGGTGAGGGATGCAGTGCTTGGCTGTGCAGATGTCCTCTTTAGTCTCATCAGAGATATGGAAGTGGATACGCATCAAGAGGTTCTCCTATAAAGAAAAAGGACATCTGTCATTTCTCTCTGTAGGAGGGTGTGTGTGTGCTTACTGTCTGCCTGAACTGTCAGGGGTCTCTAAGACGTCTAAGATGTTTTGTAATGGGCTGCACATTGTGTGTGTGAGAGAGTTGTGTATCTGTGCATGTCAAGCAAGTTGTGCGGTCTGCTTCGTTTATTCATTTTTCACTGTCAGCACTCACTTCACGTTAATCTGATCAAGGGAAAAGAACACATCTATATTTCATAAGTCATTTTGATTCCCTGGCTGAACAAATTTAAAATCAATCGATCACACTGCTGGTGCCTGACACACCGATACAGCGTGAAGAAAGAAAGAAAGAAAGAAAGAAAGAAAGAAAGAAGAGAAATGGAGAAGGAGAGAGCCAGAAAGAAAGAAAGAAGAGAAATGGAGAAGGAGAGAGCCAGAAAGAAAGAAAGAAAGAAGAGGAAAAGGTGAAGGGGAGACAAAGTAAGAAAGAAAGAAAGAAAGAAAGAAAGAAAGAAAGAAAGGCAGAATAAATGACAGAAAGAAAGCAAATGAAGACAGAGAAGAAAGCAAGAACGACAGTAAGAAAGAAAGAATGAAAGAAAGAAATGATGGAAAAGGAGAAGGGGAAAGAAAGAAAGAAAGAAAGAAAGAAGGGAAACTGAGAAGGACAGAGAGAAAGAAAGAAGAAAAGAGGAAAAGGAAAAGGGGAGAGAACTTAAGAAAGACAGAAAGAACGAAAGAAAATGAAGATGAGAAAGCAAGAATGACAGCAAGAAAGAAAGAATGAAAGAAAGAAAAGATGGAAAAGGAGAAGGGGGGAGACATAAAGAGAAAGAAAGAAAGAAAGAAAGAAAGAAAGAAAGAAAGAAAGAAATGGAGAAGGAGAGAGCCAGAAAGAAAGAAGAAAGGATGGAAAGGAGAAGGGGAGAGAAAAAAAGGAAACAAACAAACAGGGAAGAAAGAAAGAAAGAAAGAAAGAAAGAAAGAAAGAAAGAAAGAAAGAAAGAAAGAAAGAAAGAAAGAAGAGGGAAAAGGAGAAGGGAAGAGTAACAAAGAAGGGAAATGGAGATAGAGAGAGCAAAAAAGAAAGAAAGAAACAAAGAAAGAAAGAAAGAGAGCAAGAGAGAGAGAGCGATAGTGAGAGAGAGGGCAGAGAGAAAATGGGGAGAGAGAGAGAGAGAGAGAGAGAGAGAGGAGGACAAGAGACTCTTCATCTACACCTCTTCCTCTTTCATCTGTCTGTCCACGCCCTCTGTATTATCCTGCACTGAGCTCTACACTCCCAGCCCAGCGGTCAGTTCACATGCAGGACTCACATTATTCATCACCTGTTAGACACAGTGGATGGTCCACTCCTGCAGACACAGGCTGACCTGACTTTACTCTCACTTCACAGAGTGCATGGAAAATCACAGCGCCGGCACCTAAAGCGCGTGTCATTTCCTGCTCAGACAATAATGGAGTTCTCTCATCCGCAGCGGTGCAGATGTGTGGAGCGCGTGAGGAGAAGAGAGGAGAGGAGCGGAAATGAAGAGTTAGTGCTCGCTAATGTGCAGCCTCCCGCCTCCTCCGCGTGCCGGGAGGGCATGACGAGTGCTTGGCCCCACGCCTGCCTCTGCCTCATAAATGAGCCAGTCAAATAAAGACCGAATTCACAGCAGCAGCTACATTCAACAGCTCCTCGGCTAAAAATAACGAGCCGGGGCTCAGAGACAGAAAGCGGCTCTGTGCTACAGAGCTACTCGAGAGCTGCCAATTGAACTAAATAACACTTTGATGATCTTGTCTTTTGTGACCTTGGAGAGAAAGCGTTGCTGCTTCTCTCAAATCTATAGTGTAAAAGTCCTGACATATACAGTACTGGCTGCATATAAATGGGTAGTTAAGACTGAGCCAATCAGAGGCTCTCTCAGCGCGCTATCTTGATTGGACAGCCCAGCTGCTCAGCAGTGAATGATCGTTCAATTGCTTATTTGCTTAAAAGCAATTATCTGTATTGATGTTTAAGCAGCGTGTCCTCTAAGGCCATAAATGTTAGGCAAACAGAATCCATGTGCCTTAATCAAGTACAGGTGAATAATCAGGTCTGTGGATTAGAGAGGAGGCCAGGGCAGTGCATTCAGGACTGAGAGAAAATACCTGTTAAAGCTATCAGGAGTGATCGATTCAGTGATAGACCACAGCTCCAGGGGTCTTTTAACCCCAATCAAGACCATGACACCTATCTCCACGCACACCCTAACAAAACTTTGGGGACACTGCCATCTTTCACTGTTACTTTTCAATTCATTAAATACTTGCAAAGGATTTGCTCACATTAAGAGCTTTTAATAAGGCTTTTGGTACATTTTGTAATACTCGGGTTTATGTTGATCAAGCATCTCTATTTGAGCTGGAATAGTTTTAAGACAGGAGGTCCTGTAATGTAATCTGTAAGAGAGTTCACTGGCCGATTAGCACTGAATAAGATACCTGTGGAATTCCCCCAGACAGACCAGATTGAAACGCCATTGTGCAGATGTTCACATCAACGTTGAGGTTAAAATTAAGCATGTCCAAACTAACAACACCAACTTCCAGTTAACACCACATAGAGGTGCTTTATGCTAGGAAAGTGGGCTCATTCAACTTATCAAATGCCACTCAATGACACAGGAATCACATTAATTTTCCTTCTGCTTTAGATTAGATCATCACCAAAAATGTCACACTAGCCCTGTGTTGAACTTGAGGATAAAGAATCTGTGCAAGTCAGACTCCATTTTAACAGTCTTGTCTTCTCGTGACCTCTGTCTGCTTGGTTTTTTATTACATTATTGTACAGTCGATTCGAACAGGACAGCTATTACTGAGAGAGCTCCAGATTCAGCAAATTACAGAAGGTAATTTACTCTGGAATAATGACTTAGCAGACTTGTGAAAAAAAATGGACATTGCAAATTCGTACTGGATTAAAATCACAGATCTCGGCGACTGTCAATCAAATTACAGCACCTCTCCAGGTAAAACCAATCCAGCTAATAAGCCTTAATTATCTCCTAAGGTTTATAATTCAGTAACTACACTGACTACAATGCGCACTAGCTGAGCAGTTCTCAGGGCTGTCACGAGCACTAAGGTAAAATCAATTACTCAATTAAAAAATGCATAGATTGAAATGTACATTCTTAATGGATCAGCTTAGTTATTACTTCGCAATTTGAATGATAATCAGAGTATTCGCAGGTCAGTATAAAGCCACCAGCACGATCTTGTGAATCTATGTGTGTTTGTAGATACAAACTACACATATATGAAGTAAAACTAAATGTCTGACATGGCAGTTTGCATGCATATGAAGTAAAATTGCATATGAAGTAAACAGTTTTGTTAACATGTAACAGACAATTATTCTTGTTTTGTTTTTTCAGCTTCATGTTCATCACAGTGTTTTCCCTGGTATGAAACGCAGGTTTTTGCCTAAATAATAATTTGTCAGTTTTCGTTTTTTCAATTGTTAAAAGAATATATTGAAACTCTTTTTGGTTTAAACAGTTCAAAGGTTTGAGTGCTGATTAGTGCAGACATAACATTTACAGGGCATGGTGTAATTCTCAAGGCAGCACTGCCACTGTTCTTATCACAAATATCTATGTGTATCTATATCTATATTATTTTCTTAGCACTCCAAAAAGTATTCATTTTGGAACCAAAACATCTAAATTGACCATCCAATTCATAATTAACACATCCCTTTATATCACATAATCACAGTGTTTTGCATCATTAGCACCTTGTATTTCATTTTTGTCACTCCTTAATATGCACAGAAAGCTTAATTTGCTTAAAGAGAAAGCTTTAAACTAGAAGAGGTAGTTTAAGCCCAGCTTTGTCTCACATCAGCGAAGAACAATCTCATTAAAGTGTGAAAATGACCCAATTACGCCCTTCGCTATAAAAAGGCATCACCTGCTAACTACCTGCTAACTACCCAGCTGAGTTAAACATCACTTACATCAGCTTAACTTTTTCAGACTCCCTATGTGGTCTTAAAGCTGCCCACACTGCTCTCCAACACTTCTAAAACTATCCACATACGTATATGTACAAACAGCAATACATAAATGATGAATAACATCTGTTAGATCTCAGATCAAGACTGACCGATTTAAAGAAAGAAAAGGAAGTAGAGGGTGCAGAGAGAGAGAGAGAGAGAATACTGCAAGTCAGGAGAGGAGAAAGAAGGGATGAAAAAGGAGTCAAAGAAAATAGAGATTTAAACAGTATAACATAAAACACAATTATTTACACAATTACACAATTCTATAACGTAAGAATAGTTCAGCCAGTTTGCACTGAAGTCCCTGTAGTTACTGAATAATAAGCCTTTGTATATAATACGCCTGGGATTTTAAGGGGTTACTGTAAAAAGATTTCACTTCAAGTGATTTTGGACCATTTCTATTGGTCTGTTTTGCATAAATTATGTAAAAAAAATAAAAAATAAACAAAGGAGGTACAAGTATTTGTCCAGACAGTGACAATACACTTGATGTCTCTTAAAATGATCCACAATTGCCAATCTCTTTACACTTTCCAAGACTTCAGTAATAAACTTCACTCATTTCCAGGACATTTTATCAGCTTTCTTATTTTCTAGATGTTTTCTGTAACTGGAAAACTGATCTACAAATTTCCAGATTTTCCAAGTTTTCCAGGTTGTGTGGGAATCCTGTTTATGGAAATATGGAACTGAAGAGGATAAAGAGTCTTACAAAGCACTCAGCAGCATCATCCATGATGCCCAGCTGGAAGCGCTGCTCATCCTGGAAGGTTTTGGCCAGAGCACTGCGAAGAGCATCCGACGGCAGCACCTTCTCACTGCTGAACTGGAACTGGGCAAAGATGCTCTGCAACGACAAACAGCCCAGACAAAACAGTGTAAGGCTTACTTAAGCAGCACTGTACACATACAATCCAGCACAGACACTCACTGCGTGAGGTTAACATTCCTGACTCACTGAGAAAACACCACAGCAACTACACAATTTACCCATACATATGTTGTACTAGTCAAAAGTTTGAACTGAACACCTGATTGATTGTATATTCTGCATTTGTTTTCTCAAACTTTATATGTAAATGTTAACAACTAGGCCAGTTTCAATCACTTATATACATACTAAATGTATATGGTATATGCAAATATGTTTACAAATATCCACATATTATATTTCAGAACAGTTTTCAACAGTCAACAAGCAGTCAGAAAATGTGTGAATTTCTTCAAGACTGTTGTAAAAGTATTCCAGGTGGCTCCCCATAAAGCTACTAGAAAAAATGCCAATAGTGTGCAAAGCTACACCATGACAAAGAGTGTAAGTCATCCACTTAAAGACATATGCATGCTGTCTTGAGTCATAAAAGACGTAGTTGTCCTTGAATTGTTCTGTACAGAAAAGACAAGCCTTCAATTATAACCTATTGTGTAAAGCGTCAAGATAATACACGCTGCTGTCCATCAGTATTGGCGAGCTATCAACCTCCCTGAACAACAGCTGTAAGAGAATGCACACTCATCTCCGTACAGGCTGATAAGCAGCGCTAATGGACTGACATTACTCTCTACTGTGAAGGCAACAATAACAGGGCAGTTTCACCTATACGCTGGACACACACATGCATTTGACCAGATTAACAGGAATTAACAAAAATGGTAATCAGTTACACTCAAACTATCTTATCACATGTCCAAAAAAAAGTATCTACAATTTTTATTTTTCTACATTATTTAAGCACAGCAGCTGCCCTTCACATTGCATAAAACTGTTATGATGAATAGACCTACAGAAACACTCCGCAATTGCTTGAAATGGAAAGAAATCTCTTTACATTGACTTACATTAAAAGTAAAGAATGTTTTTGCCTTTTGCATTGTGGAGACCTAAACATCACACCTACATGAGCCTGTTGGACATCCCCGTCCAAAACCATGGGTGTTAATATGAAATTGTCCCTCTTGGGTGGCTATGGCAGCCTCAACTCTCCTGGCAAGGCTTTCCACAAAATTTTGAAGTGTGTCTGTGGGAATTTTCGCCCATTCAGTCAAAAGAGCATTTGTGAGGTCAGACAGTGATGTTTGATAAAAAAAAGCCTGGCTCACAATCAACATTCCAATTTATCCCAAAGATATTCACTAGGGTTGAGGTCAGGGCTCTGTGCAGGCCACTGGAGTTCCTTCACAACAATCTTGACAAACCATGTCTATTGTCCACCAAATGTTATTGTTGACACTAAACATTCTGGTATGTAGCGTTCTTCTGGCATCCGCCAAACTCAGATTCACCCATCAGACTGCCGGAGAGTGAAACCTGATTCATCACTCCAGAGAACACGTTTCCACTGCTCCAGAGTCCAGCAGGAGCATGTTTTACACCACTCCAGTCGATACTTGGCACTGCACAGAGAATAGCCGATTTTTATGTGCTATGTGCTTCAGCACTCGGCGATCCCACTCTGAGTTTGCATTGTGTGTTGCTTCATAGCTGAGCTGTTGTTACTCCTAGACACTTCCATCTCACAATAATGGCACTTACAGTTGACAGGGGCAGATCTAGCAGGTAGAAATTTCAGAAAGCTGACTTGTGGCAAAGGTTGCATCCTTTGTCAGTGCCACAGTTAAAGTCACTGAGCTCTTTAGTACGGCCAATTCTACTCCCAGTGTCTACTCCCAGTGTTTGTCTAGACTGCATATCTGTGTGCTTGATTGTATACACCTGTTAGCAATAGGTATATATATATACATATATATACATATATATATATATATATATATATATATATATATATATATATATATATACAGGGTGTCCCAAAAAAATTGACATCATTTGAGATGTGAATATCTAGCTACATGTCCTAGGCAAACAAAATTAAATAGGCTTCATGTTGAACAATATAAGATTTATTTATGAAAATTTGAACAAGAAATTCAGAGGGATGTAGATTTTATAACCGATTTCACAAAGCTTCACAAATATAATCTCTTCCGATACCGGTGGTTGTCCAGATCCCTTTGCCCTGCACAGATAGCCTTCCTCTTTGAATTTTTTGTGCCATGTCCAAATCTTCTTTCCAGTTGGTGCATTTTTATTGAATTATCTCGAAAATTCACGCTGCACACTCTTGTTTGACTGTGTTTGAGCACACGCTGCACACTCTTGTTTGACTGTGTTTCTAACACACAGAATGCCTTTTCATTTCTAGTGAACACCATTCTTCAACATGAAAAAAAAACATTGAAAATTAGTTTTTACACATTTTGTTAAAATTTGAGATCATTTGAGGGAGAATTGGCTATGTTATTAGACTACGAAATGATGTAAATTTTTTTGGGACACGCTGTATACACATATAGTTAGTATTGGTATCAATCGGTACATGGTATCAGTACTCAGTACTGGAAGGGAAAAATTGTTATTGGTGCATCCCTAATTTCTAATTTCACTGTGTGATAATGTTACTACGACCTGGAACATGTGGAGTAGCAGTGGTGGTAGAACTACAGCACGTTTCCAACAGAAGTGGACTGCAAGAGCCGATCTTCCAGCTACATAAAGTACATATGTGGAAATGTGACAAAGCCTGCAGTAGTGTGTTTCAGAGTCAAGAGGGAGGGAGTTTCAGCTCAAATAAATGGAGAAGTACTGGTTTAAGAAAAAAAATAACACATAGATTGCAATGAATTTTAATATGTATTTTGGAAAAGTCAACAGTGGGGTAACTGTCAGATCACACCCTGTGAAAGTCCATAAAGCCACACACTGTAACAAGCCTAGTGCTGCATGTGGGAATAATATTAGGGAGTGGGGGTCTTCCCCAGAGGATGTGGGCTGGTGGCACTGAAAAAGGTAATGCAGTATGATGACTGCAGTACTGCACCAAGAAGAGCAGGAATAGAGGGAGGGAAAGAGGGGGTTGGAGGGAGAGGGGGATGGAGAGAGAGAGGGATAGCTACCCCACTGAGCGTGAGCTGTTTGAGGGGAAATTTCCACCACTCTATCACCTCTAATCACACTGATCACAGTCCTGTTCACAGCCCACAGTGATTTTCACCCTCAGACATCACTCTCTCTTCTTTCTCCACCTCTCAAACACACACTGCTGATCAAAAGTATAAAAAGTGTCATATTAGCATTTTTTATTAAACAATTATTTTATATTTTAGATATTTTAGATGATTTACATTTTACGCATGATTTAAACATTACAAACAATTTACTAAAATACATTCTTACATGTTTTATGCAATATTTCAAGAATGCAGTAAACAAAAAGCGATCTTAACTTGCTTGCGATTTGATCTCCACCATATGTTAAAATATGTATTCTGGGTATCCATTGCATTATAACTTCATTCTAGATGCTATACAGCTTTCTCAGGCATTTTAGAATCACCTACAGCTCCATTCATCGTTTCAGATACATCTAAAATCTATTTATTTTTATTTATAGCTTTCTGGTGTCCTACTCATTGTTTGAAACCTGTGAAGTTGCCTAGAACAAAAAATAATTTGAGCTACACTTGTCTGTAACCAAAGAGGATTTACAATGCACAAAACATTGATTCTGAACAGTAAATCTAAACATTTGAATGGTAGAGTATGCACTATGAGTCATTATAAGAGATCAGAGCAAAATGGACATGGTGACATTTTTTTTGTGTGTGTGTGTATCAAGGAATCTTTATTGCTCTCCATAGTTTTGATTATGTAGTGCTCTCCCAAAATAAATAAATAAAGAAATTAATTAATCAATAAACAGATTTTCCCACATTTTTAGTTTTGTAGTGCCAAATCACACTGAGAGATGCAACATCATCGTAGTGAAGTTGTGAGGGAGGGGAATGTGATAGGGTTGAACATTTCAGGATAATCTGGTCACCCAGTTATCAAGGTTAGACCGTCAGTTGTTCAGCAGTAAATTACATGACGTTTCTGTGAATATCCCAAAAACATTTATAAAAACATTGGCGACACTTTATTTTGAGTGGTCCTTTTCAATGAAACAAACACTGAACAGACTATCAGTAACATGTCAAAAACATATGAGGGTGAGGGTTAGGTTTTGGGTTGGGGTTAAGGTTAGGGTTAGGATTAGGCCCAGAGTTAGTGTTTTGGGTAATGGAAGTAACATATTAACAATATATCTACTTAATGTAAGTAATGTATCAACAGAACATCTTCAAGATGTTCATTTATTTCAATGTATTTAGATGCTTCACTGCTGCTACTTCAAATGATATGTTGTTGATGTGTTACTAATAATCTGTTTATTAACCATCTCCAAAAAAACAAATCATCTCCAAATAAAGTGTTACCAAAACCTTTACCCTATATACAGTGCCGTGAAAAAGTATTTTCCTCTCACTCGATTTCTTTTGTCACATTTAAATGTTTCAAGGCATCCAACTCATTTTTATATAAGGTAAAGACAACACGAGTAAACACAAAATGTAGCATTCAAAGGATGGTTGTGCCATCCTTGGCAGTAACTACCGCAATAAAATGTTTGCAATAACGTGCGACGGGTCTTTTACGTCACTGTGGAGGAATTTTGGCCTACTCTTCTTTGCAGCATTGTTATAATTTGGCTGCACTGGAGGGTTTCCGAACATGAACTGCCTCTTTAAGGCCTTGCCACAGCATTTCAATGGGATTCAAGTCAGGACTTTGACTCGGCCACTCCAAAACCCTAATTTTGTTTCTTTTGAGCCAGTCAGAAGTGCACCTGCTTGTGTGCTTCCTATTATTGTTCTGCTGCATAACCCAACTGCGCTTGAGCTTTAGGTTACAAACTGACGGGCGGGCTTTCTCCTTCAGGATTTTCTGATAGATAGCAGAATTCCACC